ACGACCTCCAACCAAAAACACAGAATAAACGAGCAGCTCAAGAGACACCCCACAGGTGAGCCAGACGTCTGGATTGGACGACATGGGCGCTCTCGATCATCTGTGCAGCCGCTGCCCGCGCAAGGGCGGGCGGATAGGAGGCGGCCAACGCGGTGTAATGGACACCGCCGGGGGCTCTGCCGCCAAGCACGAGGTGGGGGCGCTGAGACCTGGAGCACACCCGCCCGCACGGGCGACATTTGTGACAGATGTGATATCCTGACCCACCATGCCACGCACAAATACGGGTTGGCTTCTTCCAAGGAGTGCCAGATTGACACATATGACAGATGGAGGAGGAGAACGAGGGGAGGCGGGAAAGGGCAACGAGCCTTGGAGCCTGCCACATGAGAGAAGTTAAAGGGTTCTCCAAAAAGACTGGAATCCCGAGAGATGCGCACAGCCCAATCACCCTGCACGTGAAATGGAAGGAAGCGTTCCCGACTTTCAGTCGGGAAGCTTCGGCCGAGGAGAGGCCATCTATACCCATGGGACGCTCGGGGGACCTGAGAGGCTTGCGAAGGGCCCGAGTCCAGGACGTGCAAGGGGTGCCAAGCCACACCCCGATGACAGCATGGGACTTCACCCAGCCCGAGATTCTCCGCTGGAAGGTGAGGGACAGATGGTTCTCTGCAGGCCCGTTGAGAATATCAAGCGAAAGACAGGCGAATCCAGCACGGCGCAACTGTTGGCCGATGCGGCCGCGCCCAGCAGAGAGTTCGAAAAACAGGCAGCGCCTGCGCCGCCGAGCGCCTCTGAGAGCGCGCTCGAACTTCTGGGTGAGACGCTGCTCTACGACGCGGGGCGAGCCGAGCGACGCCGGGCCACGCGACCGCGCAGCGCTGCCTGCCGCTCGGTCGGCGCCTCGCGCAGACACGCCTGGAGGCGGGCAGGCACGGCGCCGGCCAGGGGCTGGGTCAGCAGCCCGCCCAGCAGGGCGCCAGCGAAGAGCGACTCCACCCGCCTCCCCAGCTTGAATACATCGACGCGCACCTGGCCCATCTTCGCCAGCAGCCTCGTCTCCTTCACGAACCGCTTCTTGGAGCTGGGGGCCTGCCACGGGCCCCGCCTCTGCGTCTCCGCGGGCCTTGAGCACTGCGGCCCCGCGGCTGGCGGGGGGCGGACCAGGTCCCGGCCCTTCAGGCGGAAACACTCGCACGGCCAGAGGTAGCGACTGCACGCCGGGGCCACCCCCAGAGCCGAGCTGGGAGGCACGGCGCAGGCCCGGTGGCCCCCGATCGCCAAGGCCGCCGCCTTGGGTAGCGGGCAGCGGGTCCGAGGAGGGGCCCGCCGCTTCCACGCCACGGCGCGGTGGCAGCTCCGAGGCGGCAAGCTCAAGGCAGCGCCCTGCACCTCCGGGATGAAGTACGCCCTCGCCTCCAGGGGCTGTGGGCCGGTGTCCGACGCTTTGCCCGACTCCAGCAGCGCGTTCCTGAAGTCGCCGAGGTTGCTGTCTAGCTGGGCCCAGGTGGCCAGGCCCCTCTCCGCGCCGGTGCAGTTCGAGCGGAACCGGAGAGCCAGCCTGCGGAACGGCGCCTCGGTCACTGGCAGGACCGCGACGCGCTTCAGGGCGGACAGGCCGAGGACAAGGCGGCTGTCCGCCACCAGCGAGGCCGCTGCTGGGCCAGGGCTCCGGCAGCGGTCCTCGGCCGCCGCGGGGCTGCGGCGGGCCGCCGCTTGGGCGCCATCCGCGGGCCGCCGCTTGGGCGCCATCCGCGGCCGGCGGCAGAGGCGTTGCCGCGGGGCCCTGGGCGCGCGGAGCCCGCCCCCCTGAGAACAAGCCCAGACGGCCCCGAGAGAGGGGGTCCGAGGGGTTGAGCTCGAACGGGATCCAGCGAACGTGGATGCGGCTCCCAGCGGCGAGGCCCAAAGCAGCCAGCTTCCGCAGAGGCACCCGAAGATGGACTGAGCGGGCCCTGCCCTTGGTGGCCCCAAGGGCCAAGGGGAGGTTGTCGACGAACACAAGGATACGCTTGCCGACCGCCGACGAGTCCCTGAACAGATGCCTCAGGGCCAGCAGCAGGGCCTCGCCCTCCAGCTCCAGAATGTTGGACCCCGGTGGCACCTTGACCGCCACGACGTTCCCCCAGCTCCCAGGATGAAGAAGCCCCGCCGGGACCTCGTCGAACTCGGCCTCCGAGACCTCCAGGTAGCTGGGCTCCAGGTTACCCGAGAAGACCGCCGTGACCTTGCCCGAAGGGGCATGCTCTTCATGATCCTGATGGAGGGCACGTTCCCGGGCTCGCTCAGCCCCTTCGAAACGACACCGCCAACGCTCACAGGTGCGACCGATAGCGGCGACGCGATCTGGCCCCAGATGTCGATGAACCACCCCGAGACCGAAATCACTCGCGTCACTACAGCAAACTCGATGATGCCACTCGGCCGACACGTCGAGACGAAGCAGCGGGAGAAGGCTCCGAACCTGCCAAAGCTCTCGACGCACCGACTGCCACAGGGTGGACGGAGTAGATCCCGCAAACTCAACGAAGGCATACACGGACTGCAGGATGCTGAGCCCCTCGCGGCGTATGAGGGTAGTCCAAGTGATATGACCTACCAGAACCCGCATGAGGGCCCCACTGCAGCGGCCCCTCCTCAGCATCTCCTCCAACGCATAACGCAGGCGCCAGATGTTTTTGTGGCGCACCGACAGCTCACGCCCACGTCGAAGGGTCAGTCCCAGAAACTCGGCGTCCTCGGAAGCCGGCTGGAGCTCGTAGATATACTGAAGGCGATCGTTCACGCACCTCGCAGACTTGCCGAGGGCAAAGAAATTGTCCACGTATGCGGCGGCACCTATTGACGAGGGGCACCTGAGACACAGGCCAGGCCATCCGTCCTCAACCAGATCGGAATCCACGAACCCCGCGTCACGCACGACATTACGGAGACAGGCCTGGCAGACGTGCATGGCCCAGTTGAACCCCATGGGCATGACCCTCAGACACGGCAGCATGGCATCCCCAGGGCCACCCGGGACGTCCGGCACTCCGAGCGACTCGAGGACCCCTGCGTCGACCACGGGCAGCGAGAACAGATCAGACATATCGGCCGGGACCTCCATGTGATAGAAAGCGGTCTCGAGGTCCCCAGAAGCAATGTGGCACTTACCTCCAGGCACTTCTAAGCTTGCAAAGGCACTGGGAGTTGGCAGACGGGCACTGGGAGGGGACCTAAAGGAACAATTGACCACTCGCGCGTCGAAGATCAATCTTTGTCGGCCCCCTTTTTTGCCGACGAAAAACACTCCCATGGCCCCTTTTCGGCCCAGGGCACGTCGAAAATGCAGCATGCCCCGACTGTGGGCTTCCCTTAAAAACTTTCCGCACTCGAGAGGGTTGGAGGAGAGGAGAGGATCGATGCAAGCCTCACGCGGGCATGCCTCGCGGCGCAGGGCCTCCGCCTCAGCCGGGGGCCTAAGCAGGTCCCCTCGCCATTCCTTAAACACAGACGCGTCGGCCGAGGACAACAGATCCAGGACAGGAACCGGTCTACAGTCCCGCGAGGGCCAGGAAACGCGCTCAAAAGAATAAGACACCACGGGACCCGAATCAGAGGCATAAATCGTGGTCCCGGACAGGAGCTCGCTGAGGGCTCCCTGTGCAAAATCGGGGTCCCCTGGGGGACGATCAAGGCCCCGGTAAGACTCTTGCATGTGGCGCAGCACCCGCTCCTGACCCGCATTCGGGGAGGTGGGCTGGGCACGAGCACCATAGAGATCTTTCAAAACCGCGACTCCATCCGCGGCCCAGGCATCAGCATGCTCCAGACACCGACGGCGCCTCCACACCCTCCGGCTAGGCCTGGCCACACCGACGACACTTTGCTGGGTCTGGGGGAGAAGCAGAGGAAAAAGGTCTCGCTGCACCCGCCTGGACGAGGGACTACACGGTCCGCGGGATGGCGAAGACGGGCCCTGTGCGCGGGAGGAGGAGAGGGGCCTGAAGCTCTCTGCCCCCACAGCTCTCATTTCTTCTTGGGCCCTGGCTTGCCACTCGCCTCAGCACTGGAGGTCCCGCTAGCCAGGGCCCTTTCTTCACGGGCTTTGCGACGTTCCTTGGCAATTTCATATTCGCGGGCCAGCTCGGCTGTGACCCAACTCTGGCGGTCAGGGCAGATGCAAAGGTTCCCACGAACCTTGCCAGTCCCAATGAAAAGGTGGCGATCGATGCCGGCGTGATCGGGGTTGGCGACTCTCTCTATATACCGTTCCTCCTGAATCTGGAGGTCTCTGCACGCTATCTCGAGGCTCGCGTGATTGGGCACATTGACTTGGTCATACACGGCAGCGAGCTCCAGGGACCTACAGCATTTTTCATGTTCCTCAACCCCGAGGTTTTTGTCGGTGAGACCAGCTTCCTGACGCCAGCGGACGTGGTGTCCCAAAGGAGTCATGCTGTTCTCTGGAATAAAACGGCAGCACCAGAGAGCGGTGCGAGGGCCCGAGAGAGGCCAGTCGGGCCATGGGTCCTCTCGCATCTGAAGCACCGCCTCTCTGAAGACACAATGCCGCTGCCCCAGCTGATCCCGAATGATCGGCAGGACCCTGGCGTCTAGCAGCGGGGCCGCCGGTGAGGGCACCGGCGGAGCTCCCGCCGCTAGAGCGCCAGGGGCCCCAGGGTCCCCACCCCCAGCCGCGGGCCCCACAGGGGCCACCGCCCCCGGGGCCGCCACGGCCCCGGGTGCCAGCGCGCCGGGGGGCGCCAGGCCAGGCCCCGCTGGGGCCAGCGCGGCCGCAAGACCCGCCAGGCCGCCTGGAACTGGGCCGCCGCCACCCGGGGCCGGGGCGGGAGGCACCAACGCCCCCCCAGGCACTCCGGGGGCAGCGCCCGGCGCCAAGCCACCTGGTGGCCCTGCTGCCGCGGGACCTGCTGGGGCCAGCGCGGCGGGCGCCGCAGCCGGGCCTCCGGCCGCGGCACGGCCGACATTCACAGCGAAGTGGACAGCAGGCAGAACATTCAGACGGGCAGCGGCCGCCGCCCGTGCAGCCACGAAGGAGTGCAGGAGAGGAAGAGCACGAAATCCGTGTACTCGTTGTCCCGCCAGATGAGCCGGCAGACCACCGCCCGCAGCACGACCCTCGAGCGGGGTCCAGGCCGAGATGTCCCCCCGGGCATCAGGTCCTCTTCGTAGCAGTCGCCGTCGGGGGTGAACCCCGTGAACGAGTGCGGTGGTTGGCTGGAGATCAGCAGGACGCACCTCTCGTGCCACAGAGCAGCACCCGCGACGTTGTACTTCACCGCGATGAAGTCGCCCTCGGAGACGCCAGCCGCCGTGAGCGCATGGGCCAGCTCCGGCTGTGCAGCAGGCCCCGCCACGCCAGGCCCTGGGGGGGCGGCGGCCGCCCCAGGAGGGACCAGGAGGGGGCCGGCGCCAGTCGCCGCCACGCTTAGCCGCGAAGGGCCACGGCCGCGCGCCTCTCGCGCACGGCGGCGGCCTGGGCCCGCGCCTCAGCAGCGAAGTCCTCCCCCAGCACGGAGGTCGGCAGGTGCGGCACGTCCGGCAGCGCCGCCGCCACGCCCGTCGGCTCGCGAGCCGGTGGCGCCGGCCCCTGCGCGCCCGCGCCTGCAGAGCGCCGCGGGCAAGCCAGAGCCGGCAGAAGCCGGCCTGCGAGGAACCCGATGATACTGCCCACCGCCAAGCCGAAGGTCAGGAAGCCCACGGCGATGAGGGCCCCGGTGGCGGCCACGTGGGGGATAGACGACCCCTCGGGGCAACGGCAGTCCCCACAGCTCATGGCGGGCAGGCAGGGAGGCTGGGGAAGTGGGCCTCGGGGCAGACGGGGCAGACCGCTGCCAGCGAGGCAGTGTAGTAGTGGATGCCTACCACAATGGAATCCTTCAGACCTTCCCACCAGATGTGTTGCATCTGGTGATTGAGAGCTTGAGCCGACACAAGTACGGCCCTTCTGCGCTGCAACACATGCTTCACTATGTAAAATATCCCATCATCATCATCATGACCACCACCACCACTACCATCACCATCATCACTATCACCGTCGCCATCACAATCATCGTCATCATCATGATCATCACCATCCTCCTCCTTCTCCTCCTCCTCCGCGTCATCATCATCATCATCATCATCATCATCATCATCATCATCATAACCATCATCATCATCAGCAGCAGCAGCATCATCATCATCACCATCATCATCGTAATCATCCTCATCATCAGCATCGCCATTGTCAGCAATCTCATCAAAATCAACTGCTACGATCAGCTGAATCCCACCAGCCCTCTGGGCGTAGGTGGTCTAGAGCAGATCCTCTTCCACCCCTCCCTCTTCCCCCTTGGGGAGGGGTTTACCCCTCCCCCTACCCCCTCCCCTGGACCTGGACGGGGGGGGCCGCGGGTAGTTAGAGCGTCCAAGATGGCCCAAGACGGCTCCAAGAGCGCCTCAGAGAACCCAAGATGAGCTCCAAGATGGCTCAAGATAGCGCAAGATCGCTCACGATGGCTCCTAAGATGGTTCCAAGAAGCCCAAAGACGGCCCCAAGATAACTCCAAGTGGCCAAACAGCTCCCCAAGGAGGCCCCGAAGAGGCCAAAATCGTCCCAAAACCTAAGGAAAATCAATGATTTTTGCTTTCTCGCCTTTTCGCTTCCGATGGCCATCCGAGGCCTGGAGATGGCTCCAAGATGGCCCAAGAGGGCCCCAAGAGAGCCCCAAAAGAGCCCCAAGACGGCCCCAAGAGCGCCCAAGAGCACTCCAAGAGCGTTCCAAGAGGGGTCCAAGAGGCGATTTTAGGGGCTTCCGAGGGGGGACGCTAATTAAACCCCCCCTCTTGTTTGATCGACTCCCTCCAAGATGGCCCCAAAAGCGCCCCGAAGGCTCCCCAGAGCGCCTCAAGAGGGTCCCAAGAGGCGCCCAAGATGCCCCAAGGCGCCCAAAAAGCCCTCCAAGAGGCCCTCAAAAGACCCCCAAGAAGCTCCTTCCCCTCCTCCTCCTCCTCCTCCGATTCTTCCTCCTTCTCCGTCCTCCTCCTCCTCCTCCTCCTCCTCCTCTCCTCCTCCTCCTCCTCCTCGACGACGACGACGACGACGACTCCTCTTCCATCCTCCCCCTCTCGGGGTCTGTGACAGCTTCCCCCGCCCTTTGTTATTCTGCATGCTCCCCGACTTCCCTGATCACCTCAACTCCCCTGAGCATCGTTTCTGGATGGGCTGGTGGGGATACGCGAAGCGTCAACAATTTGAGTTGCTCTTCACAGCTCGCGTGCATCACCATATATACCAAGGTTCTCGACACACGCTACCTTCTTTGGGGCGATCTTTCTGATACCCCCCCCCTTGGGTGACTGTCATGCTGCTTCTACATGAACATTCTCGTCGCCAGCATTATCATCATCAGCAGCAGCATCAGCATCAGCATCATCATAACCATCATCATCATTGTCATCCCTACCATCATCATCATCATCATCAGCAGCAGCAGCAGCATCAGCATCAGCATCAGCATCATCAGCATCATCATCATCAAAATCATCAGAATCATCAACAGCATCATCAGCATCATCATCACCACCATCATCCTCATCATCAGCATCATCATCGGCAGTAGCAGTAGCAGCATCAGCATCATCCTCCTTCGCATCCTCACCATCCTCCTTATCACAGTCATCAACTCCATCACCAGCAGCAGCAGCATCGTCACAACGAGCGTCATAAGCAGCAGCAGCAGCATCCTCTTCCTCCTCATCATCATCATCCTCACCGTCACCACCACGTTAAGATGTTCATGCCCATCTGCGTCGCCATCACCGCCACCATCCCGACCCCGCCCCCGCCCCCGCCAGGCCAATCTGCCCTACCGTCGCCGCTGCCGCGCCGCCGCTGCCGCCGTCGCCGCCTCTGGTGCCGGAGGGCGCCTCGGCCATGGAGCTAGAGATGCACGGGTCGCTGGAGGGCGCCTCCGCGGCCAGAGGACTAGGAGGTAGAGCGGAGGAGGAGGAAGGAGGAAGAAGGAGAAGGAGGAGGAGGTGGAAGAGGAGAACGAGGACGAGGACGAGGAATGAGGTGAGGAGGACTGAGGAGGAGGAGAAAGAGGAGGAGGAGCAGGAGGAGGAGGAAGGGCGGAGGAAGGGAAGATGAGATGAGATGAGATGAGATGAGATGAGATGAGATGAGATGAGATGAGATGAGATGAGATGAGATGAGATGAGATGAGATGAGATGAGATGAGATGAGATGAGGCAGCGGCTAAACACCAGTCCAAGGGACCTGGTCAGGCCCAGAATCGGAGGCCTCAAGGTCAGAGGCCTCCTCGGAACCCTTGGCGTCTGCCTCACGCTCGAGGATGTCCGCGCCCAGGGCGGACACGTCTGGGAGCCCCTCCTCCTTCAGACCGAACGCGCTCGGCACAGCGGCTCGTCGGGACCCCAGGCTCTCGAGAGAGCCAACACTCCGAAGCCCGGCTCCGCCCCCCCCCTCCTGAGCCGCCGTGCTGGCGGGGGGGGGGGGCCCTGGGAGCCCGAAACCGGAGGCCATTCGCACACGTATGTCCTCGGGCACCCCCGTGGGCGGATCGAGGCGCAGGTCCTTCAGGCCTTCCCTGCAAGAAGGCCCGCGCCCGCCTTTGACCAGGCGTAGCTGCCCACTCGGGCCCGGGGGCGCGTGCGTGCCGAGGCACGGCCGCAGAGGGGCCCGAGTGGGCCTGCACCCTGAGAAGAAGGCACCGCAGGCACAACAAAAGCACAGAGACAAGCCGTCCTCGTGACCAGACCGAGCCGTGACTAGGGCAAAAGCAGCGGGCCGCCATCGAAGCTGCAACCAACATCACGAAACTGATCCGAGCCCTCGGCTGGGAGCTGCATAGCAAGCGCCTCGTCGGCAGGGGGAGGTGGAGAAACAGGCGGTGGGTCCTCCACCGCTGGCTCGAAGGCTTCTGTCGCCTCCCGCTTGCTCTCGCACGACTCCATCAGGACCGAGTGATCACGAGTCGCCAAACCATCCCCCACCAAAGCGTGAAGCTCCCCACTGCACCGCCCCGCCTCCGCCTCCCTGGCTAGTTCCCGCAGGCCCCACCAAAGGTGGCGGTCTTCCACGGTCACTCTATGATGGGAAGCTCCCAGGTTGGCAAACTAATCTGCCGCATCGTTACCCTTCTTATCCCAGAGGGTCGCGCGATCATTCAGAACACCTTGCATGCTGCAATGGGGCTGGGTTTTGTGGGCCGAGAAGCCCCCAGGATCAGAACTCGACCAAAAAGGGGACCAAACGTGGGCCAGCCGGTTCCCTGGGCCCGTGCCAGCCCCAGGCTCAGCCCACAGGGTCGAAACCGTTCCCATACAATCTATGTAAAGATCGAATGGCGGCAACGCCACCAGGCACAGCATGCTGACCGCGAAATCCTCGGCATCTCGCAAGCTCTGGAAGGGCAAGTCCTCGATCGGGACAGGGCCGAACGCCGCAGATCGGGGGAAGGGAAGAGAAAATGGGGGAGGAGGAGGAGGAGGAGGAGGAGGAGGAGGAGGAGGAGGGAGGAGGGAGGAGGAGGAGGAGGAGGAGGAGGAGAGGAGGAGGAGGAAGGAGGAGGGAGGGGGGGGGAGGGGAAGGAGGAGGGGAGAGGAGGAGGAGGAGGAGGAGGAGGAGGAGGAGGAGGAGGAGGGAGGAGGAGGAGGGAGAGAGGAGGAGGCGGAAGGGGGGGGAGGAGGAGGGGGAGGGGGGAGGAGGAGGAGGAGGACGATGGGCAGGTGGCGGGTGCTGTCGCCGCCCTGCGCCAGACCGGCCGCGTGGCCACGGGGAACGGCACGCGCGACCAGCTCCGAGCCCTCTTCCCGGAACAGAACACTTGGCGCCCGGAGCAGCAGCACGCCGCCACAGCTCTTCTCCCACATGACACAAGAAACGAGCTCGGAGACGCCATCCTCGGGGCCTTCAGGAGGGCCCGCTCTGGCCGCGCGCCGGGGCCGGATGGTAGTCGCAACGAGTACTGGCGTGTGGTTGCCGCCGACGCCGACGCCGCCGCAGCCCTGTCCGACGCCGCCCTCGCGTGGGTGGAAGGCACTACGCCGCACATTGTGGACGACTGGTTGAACACGGGGACAATCACAGCGCTCCACAAGCCCGCCGGCGGGGTGCGGCCTCTCACTGTCTTGGCGCCTTTCCGCCGCACTGTCCTCACGGGTTTCGTCGCCTATACCGCGGATGCCACGCAGGCGGCTGCTGGTCCGCTCCAGTACGGGCTCGGAGTGCCAGGGGGCGCGGACGTCCAGTTCCGGGCCCTGCAAAGCGCGGTCCATGACCGACCGGGGAGTCTACTGGTCGCCGTCGATGTCAGTAACGCCTTCGGCACAGTCTCCCGCCAGGCCGTCCTCGCCGCGTTGGGGGCGGCCCTCCCCGAGTACGGCAGCCTGCTCGCCCGGCTCTACGCGAAGCCCGCGGTGGGGCTCTGGCGCGACGGCGAGGGCGACCTGCACGAGCTGAGCACAGGGGCCGGGGTCCCGCAGGGCTGCCCCCTGAGCCCCGCTGCCTACGCGGCGGCCCTCCACCAGACAACGCTGCAGCACTTCGCCGGCTCTCCGCGCTGCCTGGTCACGGCGTACCTCGACGACGTCGTCGCTGTGGTGCCCGCTGCCGAAGCCGAGCAGTTCATCCACGACCTCTCTGGGCGGCTGAATGCCTGGGGGCTCTGTCTGAACGCGACCAAGACGAAGGTGTGGCTCCTCCCGGGCAGCGCCCAATGCCCCCCGGCGCTGCAAACCTACGTGGTGGACGAGCTCCGCGTGCTA